ATAGCAGATGAACAGATCACATCTAGGGCACAGACTAGAAACATGAATTCTATCATGATCTCGAATAAGAAGGATAGAAACACACATCGCCGGCGTTGATGTTGTCGCCCATGTCATCGAGGATGAGGTTGCCGAGGTCGGGGAAGAAGTCGTCGTTCGCGAAGTCGTCGCTGCCAGCAGTGGCGCGAGTGCGCTCCCCAAAAACCTGATCGCCCCTCTCCCGTACAGGATCACGAGAGGCGGGGTTCCGGAGGCCTGCTGTCCCTTCTCCCGATGCACGCCGAAAGGAGGGATGGAGAAGACTTGCTTGGCGGCGCAATGATCTGGAGCGGTGGTGAGAAACCATACGAAGCGGCTTCGGCTAGGGTAGACGTTTGCCTGACTATATAGTGCGGGCCGGGTAGGTCGTGGGAGTAAACCCCACGTCTGAGTCGTCACGATCCAAAAGAATCAGAAACGGTTCAGTAATTAACGTGTCCGTCAATTATTAATTAATGACTCATTAATTTTTCCCGAGCAGCAAAAATATAGACAATGTGCATAGCTCTGTCCTCGGCTCGGCTCAATCCCGCAACCCGCGGCGCGGCGCGGCGAGCCGAGCGAGGAGGAGGAGCGCGCGTGTAGGTCTCCTTTTCTCATGCTCATACAAGTGGTAGAAGAGCTCATCTTATAAAGGAGTGCAACTCTCTCTCAACTTATGAGATGGGACTAAACTTTAGCCTCACTCACTCCACTCATATATGTGCATGAATGGGCCAAGAAAATTTCAGAATTTTAGTTTGACTTTGAACCAAAGGCCTATTAGCAAAATTCCAACAAGTGCCTGGTGCATGTGCGCGGCCGGCCGGCCGCGAGGGCGGTGTACATACAAGTCCGGCATCCACCGTACGTACGTGGCGGTGCACCAACTACGTGCTCCGTCCGGAGCGTCACGAACCATGCATGCACCGACAGATCACCTTCACGGCCGCCTGAGCGATCCATCGGACTGTGCATCACGTCGTCTTTCTCTTTCATATGGCACGATAGGTCACCTGCTACTCTTTCGTAAAATAAATGGCCGAATGTACATCTAAGCAACTAACTTTCGGAAACAGAAGCACTTGCACATAATGTAGGATATGGATCCATGGATGAAAAATAGGGGGGTGATGACGATGTGGGACCCATGTGATCGTAGGTGGGCGGTGCACCTCGTCTCAGACCTCTGGTCTCTCCTGCTCTGCTGGCTTATCGGCGAGGCACGCTTCTCCAGCGAGCGCGATCGCGGCGGTTGGTTCTGCTGGATGACCGCGGGATTTGCGTTGACG